AAAACGATCGCAGCCGCTGGCGCTTTAACACGGTTTTTTTTTTTTTTTGGCGGCAAGCTCTTGGCTGGAAATAGAAGAATTCACCGTAAAATATCAATATTTGCATTTGGCCGCGCGAAAATTGGCCAAATTTGGCCATTTCCCCAAGCATTTTGCTAATTTGCACGGTGCAAAACGCAAATTTCTGCAATTGCACAGTGCAAAACCCAAAAAGTTTACTGCACTGTGCAAAAATGATGAAAAAATGACTGCACTGTGCAAAAACCCCACAGTGAAGCCGAGAGTCGAACGCACAGTGCATTCCCGAGAACCGAACGCACGGTGCAATCGATCGCTCAAGGAGTTTTGTCGCGTGAATGAACTGCTGAAACGTCGCAAAAATTTCGGTGGAGCGGAGATGAATTCGTTTGTCGTGCGCGCTTCTCATGCGTCGCAAAGACGGTCGGGGAGGCGAGAGTGCGTCGCGGGCGACAAAGGTTGGGGGGAATTGATGCGAGCGACAAACCGGGGAGGGGAGCGGATCACGGACGCGGGGTGTGCACCGTGCAACGGACAGGGCGTCTGGAAGTGACGCCTTGGGATTGCACTGTGCTGTGGAAGGGTGGAAGGAGAAAGAGTGATTGCACTGTGCAAAAGGCGCGACAAGTCTTTGCACTGTGCGAAAGAAGAGACAAGTCTTTGCACTGTGCAAAAGAAGCGACAAGCCTTTGCACTGTGCATAACTTGCGACAAGTACTAGTCCTCCCGGAAAGTCGCCGGACGGAAATCGGCGACATGCACTGTGAGAAAAAACTCAGGGTGCGAGCGACAGCTCAAAAAAGCTTATTGCACAGTGCAAAAAGCCAAAAATTGCACAGTGCAAAGTGAACTTTCGATTTCGCGGAGTGCATGTCGCCGATTTCCGTCCGGCGACTTTCCGGAAGGACTAGTATTTGCACTGTGCGAAGTAAGCGACAAATCTTTGCACTGTGCAAAATAAGCGACAAGTCTTTGCACTGTGCAAAAGAAGCGATAAGCCTTTGCACAGTGCAACAAAAAAGTAAGAAACGAACAATTGCACTGTGCAAAATCTATTTTTGCCTTATGCACAGTGCAGCACAAAAAAAACAAAATCTGGGACTGCACTGTGCGGACGGAAAAGCGAACTGATTGCACTGTGCAGTGGCAAATGAGGCAAAAAGCGACTGCACTGTGCAAATACGACCTTATCGAACATTCCCATAAAGCGGACTGATAACCAATTTTTCCACAGTGCAGTCCAAAATCGGCCATTTGGAAACACCGCACAGTGCAGTCGAAAAAAATCAAACGGCAATTTGTCGCCGACGAAAAAAAACAAAAAAAAAACAGACAAGCCAGAAACTTTCGGGTGGGACTGCACAGTGCGGCAGCGACGGGTCGGAAGCGCCCCGTTGTCGCGAAACTGATCGGAGGCCCCGAAAGAGTGGCCACGATCGCACGGTGCAAGCCCGTGGGCCCCCCGCTCTCAGCGGCGAGAGAGCGCCGCAGTTGCGGAGAGCGATGGTCGAAGGTGAGAGCGAGAGCGACACAGGGGCAAAACGGGTTTGACCAAAAGCGAATCGAAATTGAGAGTGCACTTTGAGGCCCGCCGGAGAAACTCTCGCGAAAAGACAGATGACGTCTGCACGGTGCAGGTGTTGCGACAAGACCTGTCCGGGAAACGATTGGACAATGGCCGCCGGGTTTGAGCCGAGGTTGAATGCACTGTGCGGTGATTTATCTTTCAAAAAAATGCACGGTGCAAAAATCGAAACAAAAGAATCGATCGCACTGTGCAAAAATTAAAAAGTTTTTTATTGCACGGTGCAAAAACCAAAAATTTTTTTTGTTGCACTGTGCAAAAACCAAAATTTTTTTTTGTTGCACTGTGCAAAAATCAAAACTAAATTTCATCGCACGGTGCAAAAACCAAAACAAATTCTCATCGCACAGTGCAAAAATCAAAAATTTTTTTTTTATTGCACTGTGCAAAAAACCAAAAAATTTTTTTCTTGCACTGTGCAAAAATCAAAATTTTTTTTGTTGCACTGTGCAAAAATCAAAACAAAATTTATCGCACCGTGCAAATCGCAAAACGCTTTCTGCACGGTGCAGACTAACTCTTTTTCTCGGCCGCACAGTGCAGTCCACGTTTTGCACTATTTTTCGCGTTGCACAGTGCGGAAGACAAAAAAAATTATGCAAATTTTTCGAGGGATTTTCGAATTCAAAATCCGCACTGTGCATTAAAAAAAAATTTTGAATGCACCGTGCGAAAAAATCTTTCCGAAAAACCCGCACAGTGCGGCGAAATCGACACCCCATTTTTTCGCACAGTGCAACTCAATCTTTTCGCCAAATTCCAACCAAAAACCCAGACGCGGCGCGGTGAGTCAGGCGGTGGAATGACTTTCGGAAGCCGAGGAAAGCGTGATGCAATCGCGACGAAAAAGCAGACAAACCTCATTGCACAGTGCAAAAAAAGAATGAGGTCGCGTGCACTGTGCCGTCAAAGTCGGAAAGTTCAAAAAGCGATTTTTGGATTTTGCACTGTGCACTCGACTTTTTTATCGCGAAAACTTCGAAAAACTCTTTGCACTGTGCGAAATTTGGGGGGAAATTTCATTGCACTGTGCGATTTTTGAAAGTGCGACAATTGCAAAAAATTGATTGCACTGTGCGGAATCAAATTTTGAAATTTTGCGACAACCCATTTTACTGCACAGTGCATTCAGAAAAAAGTCTTTTTGCACAGTGCAATCCACTTTTTCTTCAGTTTTCTGCAACCGCACCGTGCGAAAATTTAAAAATGCGTTGCTGCACTGTGCAATCAACAAAAATTTTTGTTGCACTGTGCAGATGACAAAATTTGATTTCTGCACGGTGCAGACTAATTTTTTTTTCTGTTCGCACAGTGCAGTGCAAATTTTAGGCTTTTTTTCGCATTGCACAGTGCGACAGACAAAAAATCGCCAATTTATGCGAATTTTGCGCCGATTTCGGCCGGAACTTCACACACTATGGTCGGAAATTTGAGCCAAAGTTCAATCCGACCCAAGCGGCGGGTCTGCGGCCCCGAAAATTGTGTAATCGGGCCGATTTTTTGCGAAAAACCCACGAAAACGGGCCCTCCTCGACCCGACGAACAAAGAATGCGGCCCGAGAAGCGGCCGAAAACGATCGGAACAAGGGTCGTGAAGGGTCAGCGAGTGATTCATCCGCTATATTCGAATGCCTCAGGCGATTTTTCATCCCCAAACCGGACGGATTTATGGGGAGGCGGTGGAAAAGTGGGGGCCTGGTACGGAAATCGGCGGTGAGGAAATGGATTTAGAACACGTATATTGAATATTGACCCAACGGTTTGGGGATTTGACGGGATTTGAATACATTTTTGGGGAAAAGAAAAAAGTGAAAAAAAAAATTGAAGTTTGATGTCTAAAATAAGGTCCGGATGAGGTGGAAAGAACAAAACTGCAATTGTAAAATGTTTACATTACTTTTTAATAGGTTTTACAGTACAAAAATTAGGGAAAATGGTCAAAAATATCAAAAATTTGAGCAAAATCGAAAAAAATCCCGATTTTTTCAGCGAATTTGGTTGAATTCAGACAAAAAAATATTGATAAATATGTGTAAATATCTCTACTGTAATTCTGACATCATATTACAAGATTTTAAACAGTAATTTTAAACAAATTTTCGAAAAAATCAAAAAAACTGCAAAATTTTGCAGCTTTTTTGACAAAAGTATCAAAAAGTATCCAAATCCTGCATTAAAAATGTTTGAAAATTGATGTCGCTCAAATTTACCGTATTTGAAAACTCCGTATCACCCGTTTTCCCTTCGATTAATCGGCCAAAAAATTGCAAAAAAAGCGGATTCCACGGGATTCGAAAATAAAAATATTGACACAGAAAATTTCAAAACTCCAAACAACTTGGAACGCCGCCGGTCAGAGATCGAATTCGTCTATTTATAAAAGTTATAAAGGAAATTGCGAAATTTAGGGAATATGATTAAAAATCATGTTGTTTTAGGGACAAAAATAATGTTTTTGATAAAAAAAACAGTGATGTAGATTAAGATACTAAATTTTTGGGGTTTAAATGCCAGTAAAATCGAAATTATAGATGAAAAAATATCAAAAATTTCGAAAAAATCAAAAAATTTCAGTTTTTTGATGATTTTAAAAAATTTTTTTCAAATGAAAATTGCTCGAGGCACTTTTATCAGATTTTCTTGAAACTTGGCCCATATACTCTGTCTAGGCCACTTATCAATTTCTGAAATTTATAGCCTTCAGTTTGCGGCCAGAGCCGAGATATTGAACGATTTTTGCGGACGAGAGAGTACGCAAAACGAGGAGACAGAAGTCGACATTAAAAATAGATTTCTTACAAAGGAATGGCTCCAAATTTGACGCTGAGATTTTGACGAAACTTGGCACAATGTCGCAGCGCCAAACCGAAGTAAAAAGCGATTTGATTTTAACCGTTAACGCCCTTCCCGTGCCCCCTTATTTTGCCCGTAATCTAAAATTGAGAGTCAGCGGGGTTTTCTAACTTCTTGCCTCGAGCGAAAAACACCAAAAACTACACGCAGGTGTTTTCGAATCAGCTGATTGGGATCAATTGACACTGCTATTTACTCACAAGACACAACAAACACTGTAGAAAAAGAAGAGCGGCGGAACAAAGTGCGAAGAAAGTGTGGTTCGTGGAGATCCCGTGCAGATTTTTTTTGGAGTAACACCTTATTATTTACTATCATTCTGTCGAGAAAATAATGTGGATTTTATGCGTCTTGAACATTTGCTAATAAATGGGCCTTTTATTTGTCCGACAGACCAATATTTTTATAAAGTGCATGTACATTTTTTTGCTGGCATAAATTTAGGTTGATTTTTTCGATGATATATGCCAGCCTCCGAGCACGCGCTGTGCGGAAACGTCACTTGGAGAGAGAGGTATTTTGCCATATTTTCCATACTTCCCGAATGCAACACGGTACGTTTTTTGCCACTGGATCGGGTCCCCTATGGTCGGTCTAATATAATAAGTAGGGACGAAACGACACAGGAATTATCAGAAATTTTTTTTCTAGACCTGATACGGCGGGCGAACACTTGCGGGCAACCACTTTGCGGGCGGCCGGCATTTCCGGCCAGCACCGTCATTTGCGGGCAACCGGCACCTGATTGTGAGGGTAACAGTGTGGAGGTGAAAAAATTACTATGATATTTTGGAAATTTGCCGACGGGCAGGCAATACTTGCGGGAAGCCGACATTTGCGGGCAACACTTCCAAAAGTTCCTATACAGTCTGTGTTATTGTTTTTTCCTGTTGCCCACAAACGTCGGCTGCCCGCAAGTGTTGGTTGCCCGAAAATGCCGACAAATTTTCAAAATATCGCAGTTGTCAGATTCCACGGAACCTGGAGTTATCCACGATGTGTCAGCTCGATGGAATTTATGGAGAGAGAGAGATGTCCCCTGTGTCAACTGTTTCCCTGGTTTTTTTCCCCGATGTTCGAGAATGTTCGATGGAGAGATCCCGAAGCGAAGCGCCTGATTCACGACACCGTAACCTTCCGCGAGGTTTTATCCCATCTTGATCAGATATATTTTTATGTAGAGTTGTGTCGAGTTGGGTTGCTGTAGTTGGAGGTGAAGCGTAGTTGTTGCAGAGTTGTGTTTTATTGCATATTTTATTGTATTGTTTACGTTTATTGATAAATTCATTTATTCGAGTTAATTTTGTCTCATTCTCGTGTTAATCTTTTAAGGGGAACGAATACAATCGATTACCCGACATCCACATCCGCAACCTTCCACTTGGAAGGCCGAGTCATTTCAGGTAGCAAGAGTGCGGAAGGTAGTCGATTGAAGAGACCACCGCAAGACCACAGCCAGATCGTTGAATTTCTTTTCTGACCGAAGGTGGAATCGGACAGCAGTAATATTTCCACCTCCACCCTGTTACCCTCAGGTGCCGGTTGCCCGCAAATGTCGGCTGCCCGCAAACGTGACCCCCCAAATTTTGCCCGCAAGTGTCGCGACGCCCCTGATACTCACCGTCTCAGAATCTTCCATCGTATTTTTTCGCCGTTTTTTCACCAAAATATATACAATTCCCAGCCGGCCAACTATTGCGAGAAATCTTTATTGAGCGCTAATGCAAACATTACGAACAATAAGTGAAAATTCCAGTCATTTACAACGATCATCTGCTACAATATTACAACAGTTACACGCTTTGATATGTCATGAAGTGAAGCTGTGAGCAATTTAAAACATAAATATTCTGATATGTCGAGAGATGTGATTAGTTTTGGCCATGAAAACAACAGTTACATCATGATTAGAGTAACTTGAAAAAAAGTGAAAAATTTTTTCAAAATGAAAAATATTTGTAGGAGAAAGATATAGACTAGAGTCGTATTTATAGGACATAGAAAGGGTGAGAAAATTACGTCAAATTGAAAAAAATCAAAAAAAAATTTTTTTTTTAATTTTCAAAAAATTTCAAAAAAGTCCAAAAAATATGTCATCATGACGAATTAAAATTTTCAAAAAAAAATTTTTAAAGAAAATCCAAAAAAAGTCATCATGACGAATTAAAACTATTAAAATTTTTTTTTTTCAAAAAATTTCAAAAAAATCCAAAAAATATGTCATCATGACGAATTAAAACTTTAAAAAATTTTTTTTGTAAATTTCTTCTAAATCCGTCATTATGACGTATTTTTTGGACTTAAAAACTCCAAATTTCATTTTTCACCCAATTTTTTCAAAATGACGTCATTTTTCAAAAAAAAACCCCTGAAAAATCAAACCACATTTTCGGGTTTCTGAACCGCATCCACCGGCTGCACACTGGACCTCTTCACGGAGCGCCTCGACCGCTTCCCGGCTCGATGACTCCACCCGTCCATGGTCCACGAAGCCGGCTTCGCCTTGCACATTACGCAGAAAAACGCGTTCGTCAGCAACAAGATGACGCCGTGAATCCAGAGCACAACCGCCCAGTCTTCCGGCAAATTCTCGGGCGCAATCAGTTCGTTGAGCAGCGGCACGATCAGCATGCACACACAGTTGAGGAAGGCGATGTTGGCCAGTGTGAAGTGGGAATGTTGGCGGGAGACCATCTGCGAGGACTTGAAGAAGCCGCCCGAATTGAAGCCGAGGATACAAGTGGAGGCGATCAGGGTGATCTGAAAGGGAGGATGATAGAGTGGGATGGGATTTTAAGCCTAGGATTTACAGTCTAAATTGCCATTTGAGTGTAAAATGTTATGCCAAAATGTGAGTGCGAGCTTCGAGGATTTTCCGACGAGAAACTATCTTCATTTATTTGATAGAACTTTTCTCAGTGGAACGGCATTCTGTACTTTTCTTTCTCTACGGAAAAAATATTATATATTTTAAAACATTATAAAATTGAAAAAATGAGGTGTGACATGTTATATGATTGATTTTTTTTAATTGAAAAAATAGCCGTGACATGTTATACGATCGAAATTTTTTTCAAATTGATAAGAATAAGATGTGAGTTGCTATACCATCGTACATGTCACAGCTTATTCTCTTCAATTTAAAAAAAAATTTCATCGTATAAGATGTCACGCCTAATTTTCTTCAATTTGAAAAAAATTTTCCTCGTATAAAATGTCACACCTAATTTTTCTCAATTTGAAAAAAATTTTCATCGTATAAGATGTCACACCGAATTTTTTTCAACTTGAAAAAAATTTTCAATGTATAAAATGTCACACCTAATTTTTCTCAATTTGAAAAAAAATTTTATCGTATAAAATGTCACACCTAATTTTTCTCAATTTGAAAAAAATTTTCATCGTATAAGATGTCAAACCGAATTATTTTCAATTTGAAAAAAAATTTCATCGTATAACATGTCACACCTAGTTTTTTCAATTTTCAAAATGCGGGAGTGTTCAAAAAAGGGGGGAGTTCAGATTTTTCGGTGAAAATCAAAAAAGGGGGAGAGTTCCGTCTTTTTTGGGGGAGAGTTGAAAAAGGGGGACAGTTCAGATTGGGGGAAAGTTCAGAAAAGGGGAAGAGTTGCTCAACCACTACGTTATAAGAAGAAAAAAGCCAAAAAAATCTACACCCACCATGCACAGACTGGGATTGGTGCGCGGGTCCAAACTCGCCAATATGATGAAGAGAACGCCCATCATTCCGCAGGAAAGACTGTTGTAGATGCGCAACTTCCACTCGTCCGAGATGAACGTGATCTTGTCGGAGGATTGGCCGGCGACCAGCTTGATGAAGAACATGATGACGGGAGAGATGGCGGACGCCACTCCGGTCTGCTCAATCGGCAAACCAAGGACCTGAAATGCGTTGAAATCGTTGAAATTGCATTCAACTTCATACCTTATTCAAGTAGGTGGGAATGAACTGCAGCGAGAGCTGAGTGCCCATGAAATTTCCGAACGCTGCCACAAGAATCGCCCATATCGCATGGTCCGAATACATGGCCTTGTATGGGACTTTTCGCGACTTTTTCCGCGTGTTCTCGCGGCCAGGCCCCGAATAAATCGAGCCTTTGCCAAAGTAGACTTTAACCAATTCCTTCCGATTCATCATCGGATGTTTGTGCGGGCTGTTGCGATGGTAGAGGATGAAAATAATGAACAGTATCAAACAGACTGTGCCGTGAAGATAGTAGACCGACTCCCATCCCAATGCGGATGTGCAAAGTTCCCCGGAAATCGGCATGGTAAAAATGGGCGCTATTTGGAAGAAACTCGAAAGAATGGCGATGAAAATTCCATTCTGTTTTAATGTCGACCAATGCGAGGTGATCGAGCCCATCACGGGAAGACAGGCCGAAAACCCGACGCCTTGAATCCCTCGCATTATCAACATCATCCAGAAGGAGGTGTTCGCCGAGACGGGGATGAGGTATGTCGCTATGGTGGAGATAAGGCCCAGCATTCCGAAGGTCATCCTGAAAACGGCAATTTTTTGGCACTACGAGTTTTTGGGTCAACGACAGTTCGGGTCGAAGGCATCTCGAGTAGTAGGCTTTCCGGAAAGTCGATGGTGTGATTTTTGGGGTTTTTGCGGTGCAAGTAAAGTTGAAGGTGCAAGCGACAGCCGAAAAAAGCCTATTTGCAAGGTACAAAATGAATTTTGTTTTTTCGGACAGTGCATGCCGCCGAAATCACTCCAGCGACTTTCCGGATGGACTAGTATGCATAGAGGCTAGGAGAAAGCCCAATGACTAGAAATTAGAAGATTGATCGGGTCCCAGGCCAGTTTATCATCTATTTTTGAGGTGTTTTGCATGTATTACATCAATAAAATCCAAACAAACCCCATGGTTCTTCGTTTTCGAGGATTTTTTCGTCTTTCTATGCTAGCCCAATGGCAGTAAAACTAGGCTAGATATTTATAAAATTTAAAAAATATTCATGTTTTATGTCTTCGCCAAGTTTCCGCCGGGAAGAAACAGTTGACCCAACGAGACGGGGAGAGAGTTGACGCAAACTTTTTGTGATTTTTTGTAGAGTAAAATACATTGGCATGTCCTTAGGCATTCAGCCTCGTATGCACCTCCTACCACTTTTTTGGCCTCCCCCTACTCTACCCCGCCTATCAACCGATCTTGCGTCGACCGAACTGTCATTGACTCAAAAAGTCCGAAGGCAAAATGTTTTGGCTTCTTTGTCTTCTCTCATACCTTGAGCCATATTTATTCAACGCAACGGTCATCGGGAACACGGCAATCAATGCGCCCACGGCCACCGACATAAAAAGTGCACTCCTCTCGCCGGATGTGTAATCCAAATGCGGTTTGTAGCCGCTTTGTTCTTGTTGCAACTCTAAACAAAAGTCGTCTTCATTGGCCAAGTTTTCATCACTTACTGGTCAAGTTCTCGTAATGAGGAGGCTTCTCGCCTGCCATGCAAATGAATGTGAAATTAAACGTCAAAATGTTGGACAAGATTGAAGATAAACATAACGTGGAGATGAGCATGATGGTAAAGCGAATCCTATTGCCGAACAGCCAATTCCCGGTGCCGGCCTCTTCTTCATCCGAGTCATCGGTCCGACTCTTGTTGGAGACTGTGTCCAGGACTCGTCGCGAGAGCTAAAAATCGGATTTATTGAAGGGGAGAACCTGATCCAGTGGCAAAAAACGCCATTCATCCGGGAAGTATCGAAAAATGTGGCAAAAAAACTCTGTACTCGAGATACGACGCTCAGATTTTAATGAAACTTGGCTCAAATTGAGAGTATTTTTCTATAAGACATATGCAAGACTTCTTGTTTATGCATAGTGACATGAGTTGCGATTACAACGACAATTGACCCTTTTTTCTTACCGACCGCGATCTCCTCAGCCCACTCTTCTCTCTTTTCCTCTTGCCCATTCGAGTTCTTGGCTTCTCCTCTTCCCTCTCCACCTCCTTTTCGGGCTTTGGCAACGTGTCCCAATTCTTGGGCCTTATGTAATCACCAGTGACTGGATCCATCCCCTCTAGCAGCCCGCTGTGTTTGCCGTTGGTGGCTGTGTTCTCGGCGGTTTCGTCTGCGTTCTCGTCCTTCTTTTCTTTATCATCTTCTTTACCTTCCTTGTCTTTTGACTGTTCATCTTTATCATCTTTTTTCGAGTCTCTCCGCTTGTCGTTGTGGCCTCCATTTTCGTCCAAATTCTTGGTCGTCCCATTTGTTTCATTGACTCGGATTACCGACTCTTTAGGATTTTTCAGCGTCTCGTCGGAGTCGTTTTCATCGTCAGCATCGTCGTCATCACTCGAGTCGGTGTACTCATAGTCATCCCCATCTTGTTGGCCCTCTTTTTTCTTCACTCCCGAGCTCTTCGCAGTCTCTGCGGACTGACTTTCAGCGGGCGCGTCAAGGTCTACCGGAGTGCCATACGCCTCAATTGGAATCTCATTCTCCTCCAGAGAAACCGGGTCCAATTCCGCGGGCTTTGCTGCCTTCTGCTTGCTCATTTAACCGTCGTATATGTGGTTCAAATATGACAAAAAATGTAAGTGATGTTTCTAAAAGAATTGTTGTTAATCTGAGTGATGAAGGGTCGTACAGTGACGGACCTGATCCAGTGCAAAAAGCGTACCATTTTGCATCCGGTTAGCATCACAAAATGTGGCAAGATACCTCCCTTTCTACATGAAAAAGCTCCGATTTCAAAAGCTCGCCCAATCTTTTTATGAGGGAAGCCCTTCAAAACGGAGTTTTTAGTTGGAGATGGAGGTATTTTGCCACATTTTTTAAGACTTCCCGGATGCAAAATGGATCAGGTCCGTCACCGTATCTTTTAAACAGTGGCAACGACAAATCGAATAATCGGCGACTTTTACGGTGCTATTCAAAGGTCGCGAATACTATAAACGAAAGATAAAATTGACAGGGAAAGTATTATACTCCAAGTGCGACGCTCAGATTTTCTTTAAATTTTACACACAAGTTGGGTATGGACCAAATATCAATTCCTGAAAGTTTTAGCTCGCGCTTTTTCGCCAAGATATCGAACAATTTTTGCCGCCGAGAGAGCACGCTAAACGTGGAGAGCGGTCAGAGAGAAAAGCGCTTTTTGGCCATGACTTTGGCGGTTTTGTGCGGAAAAATTTGATTTTTTGTAGAAAGATTACCTTTTACGGTTGAAACAGGCATAAAACTTTTCGTGCCAAAATTCGGCAAAAGGTCCTAAATTTTGGCCGACTTTCGATATAAAAATCTCGGTTATTTCTGCAAAGCGCGAGCTAGGATTCTCGCATATATCTTAGAAAAAATTATTCTAAATTTGTGCCAAGTTTCATCAAAATCTGAGCGTCGCACTTGGGTACTTCCCCTGTGATTAAAAGACGGTTCCCTGAGGAAGCTTGGTTCAAGTGAGAGCCAAAGACTTCCAGAGACATAATAATAATTATTTGACTGGTTTGGGTGTCGCGTCAAAGATTTAAAAGAATTGAACCTTCCCAGTTCGAAAAGCAAGTTTCTCACGGAAAAAAACTGATTTTTGTGGAAGCCCTTTACGGTAGAAATGGACAAGAAATTTTTGGTGCCGAAATTCGCAAACAAGCGTTACATTTTTGCCAACTTTTGACTTAGAAATCTCGGTCGTTTCTGCAAAGCGCGAGCTTGGGGTCTCGCATATGACTTATAAAAGATTTTTGTTAATTTGCGCCAGGTTTCATCAAAATCTGAGCGTCGCACTTGGGGTACTTCCCTTGTAAGCCGGGTAAATAAAACTTTTGTGAAAGCTTTCAACTTTTTTCAGCCCATAAAGGTTTCATAAAAAATCAAAAAGTTCCAAGCGAAATTAACAGGGGTATAGCCAAAAGGTGTTTTCTGTTTGGCCGCTCTGATTGCCAGGAGCTACAATTAGTCTCATGAAAATATATGAAGTCTCGAGCGCGAGCTAAAATTCTTACAATCAGACATTAAGTCTATGGCCTATGTCCGACGCAAAATTTAGCGAAAACTTCAGCGTCGCACTTGGAGTAGTCGCGGCAAAAAGTCGTTGGAGTTTGCGAAATTATCCTCCTCAATGGAACCCCTTTACCATGGAAACCTCTCCAACTGAACCTTTCAACCCCACCAAAGACCCCTCAACAATGTGGCAGCAACAACTCGAATAATTTTTCCAAAATTTTGATTTTAAAATTCAAAAAATTCGAAAATCCTCTCGATCAGCCACCCCTCTTCAGCGGCTCTTAACCCCTAACCAAAAGCCGAGTGTCAATGGCCGCAGGGCTTCCATGACCTTGACAATCGAAGGTTCGAGGATGGTTTTTCGCATAAATTAGCGCGATTTCCCGGCCAAAAAGAGCACACAAAAAGAGAGGGGAGCAGAGAAAGAGCGAGATTTTTTTTTGCGTTTTCGGACATTTGGCCCTAAGGGTTCAAAAACAACGAAAAATGTCGAATCAAGTCTTCGGATTAAGATCAATGTCAGCTCGGCGAACAAGTGTTCCAAAAACAAAAAATTTTTGCCCTGAGGGTTTTCCCCATACGTGACAGATTTGGGTCCTCACTTGAATTAGGAATGCCTTCAAGTGCATAGAAACAATAAGAGAATGAAAAGTTTGGAAAAACAAGCAATAAAATTAAGAGAAGAACAGTGATTTTGGACATGCTAATAAAAAGCAGGGCTATTGGGAAATAAATTTTGGAAAATGCTATTTTTGAAATTTGCAAAACAAATTAAAAAAAAGATACTATCAAATTCCTATCGCGTCGCAGTATAAACCAATCTGAATTTTCAGCAACATCTCAGATTTTGATGAAACTTGGCACAAATTTAGAATAATTTTTTCTAGGATATAAGCGAGAATTCTAGCACGCGCTTTGCAAAAACTACCAAGATTTTTAGATCGAAAGTCGGCGAAAATTTCAGACTTTTTGCCGAATTTCGGGACGAAAAGTTTCATGCCTATTTCTATCATAGAGAGTAATGTTTCCACAAAAAATCAATTTTTTCCGTGCGAAAGTGACGAAGTTATGGCCAAAAAGCGCTTTTTTTTCTTACCGCTCTCCACGTTTAGCGTGCTCTCTCGGCGGCAAAAATCTTTCGATATCTCGGCGGCGCCCGCAAAGCGCGAGCTAAAACTTTCAGGAATTGAAATTTAGTCCATACCCGACGTGTGTGCAAAATTTAAAGAAAATCTGAGCGTCGCACTTGGAGTACTTCCCCTGTGAGGAGTCCGGTGACCGGAATAGACCCTTCGCTATCGGTTTTTTACACTTCGTCTTGATTTCGCAGAGAAAGAGAGAAAAAGACACGCAAAAACGTACTCTCTCGCCCCAAAAAATCCCCATTTCTTCCCCGACAAAACGTTTTTTCGCGTCTTTTTTTGGCAAATTACCAATCCATACACCGGACTGCCGTTAGCTTATTTCAGTTTGACGTGCGGTGGCGCGGTCGGCACAGCGACATTGCGCTCATTATTTTCCCGACAGACTGATATACGTAATATTTACTGTAAGCCAAAATAAACCTTTGTAAAACAAAGCCTCTGCATAACGAACACATTTCTTTGGTAGCTTACAAGTTGTTCTGCAGAGGCTTTATCGTACCATTGAGGTTGTTCAACATGTTTTGCGTCACTGGATGGCTTTCAAGAGGCCCAGGAGTTCAAATGTATCCCAAACTCTTCATTTTTAAAGATAAACAAATACAAGTTTCACGGTCAAAACCAAAGGCTAGACCGATGAAAGACTAAAGCCTAAAAGCTCAAAATCTGTAAAATCAATGCTCATGAAGCCTTGAATTGTCCTGGAATGTGGCCCTTAGGTTTTGAAGTTTCAATGCAAATTTGGAATAATTCATTTTTAAAATCTTTCCACAATAAAAATCAGTCTTACAGTGAGGGACGGGATCCAATGGCAAAAAACGACTTTTTTTGCATCCCGGAAGGGACCAAAATGTCTCCAAACCCTTCCCTTCTCTAAACTAAAAAACCCCGATTTGAAGAGCCCGCCTTGAAGGAAAGGGCGCGCTTTTCAAAGCGGAGTTTTTTAGCTTAGAGACGGGAAGGGTTTGGAGTCATTTTGGCCCCTTCCGGGATGCAAAAGGAGACGTTTTTTGCCATTGGATCAGGTCCCTCACTGTATTTCTACTGTAGAGAGCAGTGTTTCCACAAAAAAAGTCATCTTTTTCCACACGAAATTGACAAAGATAAGGCCAAAAATTTTTTTCTCTGCCCTCTCTCCCCATTCCGCGTACTCTCTCAGTGGCAAAGATTGTTGAATATCTCGGCGTTCCCAGTAAATCGCAAGCTAAAATTTTCCGGAATTTGATGACCATTTGAGACATTTTTGGTGATGATTTCCAGAGATAACTAGGTTGATGCAAAAGGAATTGCGGATTTTTTTATTTATTCGTATTTTTTTATAGGATAGCTCAATTCAAAAATGGAAAAAGGTATATAGTAGTAAATTTTAAGAGGATTTTTTCTGTATATGTGCTATTCTTATAAAAGTTATCAAATGTTACCATAAGTTACCACGAAAGTACCCTAAACATGTTAGTATATTTTAAACCAATTTTTTTACATATTGTTTTGCGGCTTTATCCATTTTTGAAAATATTTTGATAAAATACGTTATATTCTATCAAAAAACAAAAAAAACCCCCATTTTTGGCAAAGCGTTAAAACGCTATCCCAAAAATTCAAATTTCAGCAAATTTTACAAATCGTGTCATATCTTTTTTTAAATAAGTCCAAAATAAAAAATTCTTTTTGCTTTCGATTAGTAACAACATTTTTAAGGCTTTCGTGAAAAAAGACATCAAAATCTTGAATTTTATTTTTTGGTCAAAAAATGTCAAAAAAATAAATTTTTTTGATTTTGATGTTTTTTGTCACAAAAATCTTAAAAATGTTGTTACTAATCGAAAGCAAAAAGAATTTTTTATTTTGGACTTATTTAAAAAAAGATATGACACGATTTGTAAAATTTGCTGAAATTTGAATTTTTGGGATAGCGTTTTAACGCTTTGCCAAAAATGGGGGTTTTTTTTGTTTTTTGATAGAATATAACGTATTTTATCAAAATATTTTCAAAAATGGATAAAGCCGCAAAAAAATATGTAAAAAAATTGGTTTAAAATGTACTAACATGTTTAGGGTACCTTCGTGGTAACTTATGGTAACGTTTGATCACTTTTATAAGAATAGCACATATACAAAGGGAAGTACCCCAAGTGCGACGCTCGGATTTTCTTTAAATTTTGCACACACGTCGGGCATGGACTAAATATCAATTCCTGAAAGTTTTAGCTCGCGTTTTGCGGGTGCTGCCGAGATATCGAACGATTTTTACCGCCGAGAGGGAACGCTAAACGTGGAGAGCGGTCAGAGAGAAAACACCTTTTTGGCCATAACTCCGCTAGTTTTGCGCGGAAAGAATTGATTTTTTGTGGAAACATTACCCTCTATGATAGAAATAGGCATGAAACTTTTCGTCCCGAAATTCGGCAAAAAGT